AAACCACTGTTAAAAGAAACAGAGCAGGTTCCAAAAAGCAACGTTATCATCACATCACCCTGCAGGAGCAGAAACAGCTCTAGTTAAGAGTTATAACTCTGTCTTGCTCTAGGTGAGTCTGGGGCAGAGCCTGCATTGACCCTTGAGCTCCCACTGGCTGCACCCTCCGGCCAATCGCAGACTGAAAAAGATGCATACAGTTAATGACATCACAGCTTCCTGTCCATTGATACACTTTGATCCAAGGAGAAGAATAAAATGTGCTGATCAATTCTGTTCTAAATCATCAATAAAAGCATTTCAAACTCACTCTGCTGTTTCTCTGATTCAAACGTCTGCACATTGAAGATGATACATCTGTGGTCATTTTATTAAGAACCCCTGTCTCAGTCTGGTTCAACAGTCCTGTAGTGAATCCTCCTTCATGAAGGTGGTGGTGTTCAGTGTGTTTAGACTGTTTCACAGAGGTGCTGGTTCACCTGTGTGATCACTGTGGAGGCTGCAGTTTGTGCTGCTGTTCACCTGTATTAAATGGACTTGGACTGACTGGTACGTCAGTGGCGTCACAGAGCTCTCAGCTGGACACATTCACAATACTGCTAGTAATACAGCTAAAGCATCTACTGCTGGTTCTCCATTACTTTAATGTGTTGTCACCTACCCTGAGAGCTGTTCTGTGGACCAGCCTAGCAGCTCTGATATACAGGGGGTGGATACAGTAATGCCTGTTAATGTAATTCAACACAACAGCGCAGCCTCCACAGTGAATCAGCAACTCTGTGGAACAGTCTGAACATCACCTTCATGAAAGGGATTTACTGCAGGACTGCTGGATAAGACTGGCTCAGTCTGAGAAGCGGGTTCCTAATAAACTGAGCATAGTGAATCAGTAGGCCTCATACCTGAATGTTTCACTTTGTCACTTCTAAAAGCAAGAATGAAAACTGACTGAAAAGGGTTGAAACAATCTTTAACTGAACAACAATTGAACCTACTTGACCCAAGGCAGGCAGGCAGTGACATTAGTGACTGTATATTTGTTGTACGAGGCTGAGGCCTGTTAAACACACCAGGAACAAGAGTGGCTCATGTTGTACCATCAGACCTGCAAAAAACACAGCACTGCTGCTTCAAAGCTCAATCATAACAACCAAGTGTCACCTTTAGCAAAAATCTGAATTAACTAGTGATTGGTTAATCCACCCAACAGGTCACATTAACTGATCCATTAAATTACTGTTACATGGCTGAAAATCTAATCACTACAAAATTCATGTAATTAATAACTAATTTGGTTTCCTTCATTATTATCTAGTTTGATTATGAAACAGATGATAATGTACATGTCATTCTGTGCGGCTTCAACAAGGTCTGATATTAAAGCTGAGCCTGCAGAGCCCTGTGCTGACAGCGGACATGGTGATGGACAGACGAAGCTTCCGAGTCACTGGGAAACGGTTCACTGTTGTGAAATATGTCAAACAGCCCAGACGGCTGCTGGCCGCATCCTGGCTCTTTACCCGTGGGTGGACAACAGTCAGGCTGCACCTGGTCATACTGCTGTCAACATTACTGTGATCAATAAAGTTTGTATTATACAAACTGATCACATTTAACTGGTTCTACTGTTAAAAATGTACCCAGACTGAGAACATCCTGCATTTTACATCACTCTGCTTTCAAATGTTGATACAGAGTCTGGACACAATCAAGTCTCAACATGCTAAGCTTTAGCATTAAGGTCGGCCTGTAGCTTAGCATATTGGCAGGGTAACATTAGCTAATCGCCAGTAAAGAGAGAACAGGTGAGGTTGCGCAGGTCACCTCAGTGTTGGACACAGAGCCGGGACCTGATCGTGGTGCTACAGGAAACGCCAGAGGATCAACAAACTACATCATCATGATCCACAGAGTTACTACACATCAGTGTGATCGCTGCACATGTTAATATCCAAGGATACACCTTAATGTGCAGTGAGGTGTATCAGTACACAGGCTCAGAGGCCTCCTGCAGCTCCACCCACTGTCACATGACTCCACCCTCTAGTTCACAGGTGCTTAACGTCTCCTAGCATTAACATTACAATAAGAACAAGCATTTCAGACTTCTGTCAGTTAAAGATGAGCAAGTCTGAATATTTGAACACAATCTGGATGGACAGATGTTTTCAGGAATGAGGCCCACTGATTATCAGACAGAGGTTTGGCCTGGAGAGCTTACCTGGACCAACAGGTTTCTGGCCAATCACAGGTGAGGTCACTCCTCTGTCTCAGGTTCTTCCAAATGGGCTACGTCCTCGGACCTGGATCACACAGAGTCAACATGTCAACTCACAGAATGACATCACAAAATAATCCGACAGGCTCACAGGTCAGGAGATTAAGGGAGCATTTCATTGCCTGCCTGCATGTCGTTCAGTGTGCTGGTCCCAGTTGGTCCACAGTAACAGCTGCTGTGCATTTATCTCTGGGGGAAATAACCCTGATCAAATATTTCTCAGCTGACACAGTGTTTTTAAAGCTTTATTTTTGCAGACATTTTACGGCAGAATCAACTGCAAAAATAT